ACCCACCCACCCATCCATCCTCCTCATCCATCCGTCTGCCCGTCCCTCCAACCCAGTCCCCTATCCACCCACACATCCGTCATCCAGCCCTCCACCCTTCCCTCTAGTCACTCACCCATCCATCTCCCTCCTTCCTCCTCCATCTACCCACCTGTCCTCCTTACCCATCCACCCATCCATCATCATCCATTCCTCCATCCACCTACTCACCTCTCCGTCTTCTCCATCCACCCATCCATGCATCCATCCACATCCACCTTCCATCCATTCACTCATTCATAATCTATCCACATACCCTCCCTTCTCCTCCATACATACATCCGCTCATCCACCCATCTTCCTCATCCATTCATCCACCTGCCCACCCATCCTCATCCATCCATTTGCCTGTCCCTCCATCTATCCTTCTCATCCACCCACCCATCTGCCCATTCCTCCACCCATCCATCGTTCTCATCTACCCATTCACCCACCCATCCATCTCCTTATCCATTCATTCCAACCATAAATTCATCCACCTACCCACCCATCTTCCTCATCCACCCACCCACCCATCTCCCCATCCATCCATCTGTCCATCCTTCTCATGCATACATCCACCCACCCACCCATTCATCTCCCCATCCTTCTCATCCATTCATCCATCCACCCATCCAGTCTTCAGTGAGCACCTGCTAAACACAAGGCACTTTAAGAAGTACTAAGGTGGCTGGGTGCGATGGCTCAGCCTGTAATCGCATTTGGGAGGCTGAGGCAAGAGGATTATCTGAGCCCACGGGTTCGAGAACAGCCTGGGCAACTTGATGAGACCTCATCTCTACAGTAAATCAAAAAATTAGCTGGACGTGGTGGTGTTCTGTGCCTGTAGTTCCAGCTGCTTGGAAGGCTGAGGCAGAAGGATCGCCTAAACCCAGCAGATTGAGGGTGGAGTGGCTGTGAGTGTGCCACTGCACTCCAGCCTGGGTGAGAGTGAGACTCCAACTTAAAAAAAAAAAAAAAGGAAGTACTAAGGTTTGACAAGAACAGAAAACTGCTGACTGTGGAAGTTGGGTGATGGGTATTTAGGTTCATTACAAGATTTCCCCCTACTTCTGCCTATGTTTGAAATGTTCCATAATAAGACAGAGGGAGGGGGAAGGAGAAAGGGAGGAAGAGGTGAGGAAAAAAGGAAAAGACAGTGGAAGAGAGAGGCTGGATGTCCAGCCTGAGGACATGGCTGGGTCTTCTCCTGGGGTCTCACACATTGCCTGTTGGACAAGGCTCTCTGAGGTCAACTGCCCTGGCTGCCTTTTGGTCTGTCAAATAGCTCACAAGAAGGAGACCTAGCCTGGTGAGATGAGCTGCTATTCAGATGCCCCCAAATGTTCTGCAGAGCTGGCCCCTTCCCCCCACCAGAATGGCTGTATCAATGGCTGTAGGAGGCCAGGGAGCCTTCTGGGATGGTAAAATCCAGAAACCACAACTCTGTTCTCTGTGTGTTCTCCTGGGCAAGGTCCACTTGGCTTTCACCAGAAGCTCAGTGATCCACAACCCACAAGAGGCTGAGCAACTCTGCCTTAATGTTAAATAGTAAAAAGAAGGGGTCGAATCTGGCCTACATAGTAGTATGACTTGATGAGCTGCCTTGTTGGGGGAAGGGTCTTGGCCCCAATGATGGATTTGACACTACTCTAAGACCCAGGTCAGTAGGCCTAGCTGTTAGTGACGTGGGTTCCGAACATTTACAAAAATGCTGGTGAGCCAAGGCCCTGCACGCACATCACCTCAGCCCATCTTTGCAGCAACCAGTGGATGGTAACTATTATTCCCTTTCACACAAAGACAACTGGACAGGGGAAGAGAAATGACTCTGAGCAAGTGAGCCAGCTGGACCAGAAACTCTGGTCCGAGGTTTTCTGGAGCTAGTGACCTTTCCACAGCATTCTGGAAGTGGAGGGATAAAACACACAAGACTGTTGGTCTTGAAGATCTAGGCCAGATGCTGAGAACGGAGACGGCGAGGCAGGCAGGCTTCTGGATGATCGAGGGTCTGGGGACAGCTGCCTACAGGAGGGGCCCACAAGATTCCAGGACTGGGTTGACTGGCCTGTGCACAGCTCCCGCATCTGAGCTCTCAGAATCAGCCCAGAGCAATGCAAAGGGGCAGAAATAGCTTCCACCAGGGCTCTGAAAAGCAGAAATTCTAGTGACCACCATCCACTGTCTGTTACGAGGCAATGCGTCACATGTAGAAGATGACAGAGAAGGGTGTGGGATGGGTCTGGGAGATGAATGGGGCCTGTGCGCCCAGCTGAGGACAGCAAGGATTCTGCAACCACAGATGCATGCATGTGCACACAGACACGCACAGACACACAAACACCCCCACCTCCCATAGCCACAGTGATCGCCTCTTCCTCCTCTTTGTCCTCACCCCCCAACCCTGGGCCCTCTTCCTAGAACCCCAAACATCCCAGAGGGCTGGCTGGGGACAATGGCACAGCTGACACTTGGAGCTGAGTCCAGCCTTCCCAGGTCTCTAATCTTAAAAGATGACTCCCGTTAAATATCCGTGTGTTTAATGCTTCACAGAACAAACCTGTTCTTCACTGTTAAGTTCATTATGAACTTGAATCTGATATTTTTAAGTCTATGTTCCAACATATGCCTCAAGTAGCAACATCTTTTGTGTTCAACGATTTAGCTTACTGCACTTTGTGCAAAGTCACAAACATTTTCATACATTTATGAGCTTTAAAATGTAGCTGGTGAAATGCACCCAGACCTTTATCCCATTACACTGCACAGAGAGACATGGGTAAAGCAACTGTCACCGAATTGCGCTCTAAAGCTGGAAGGAACCTCTGTTCCCATCTGGCTGCTCACCCTGTTCCTGGGAGGCTGACAGATGTGCCTGGATGACACAGGCAGAGGCCACAGAGCTTCTGAAGGCAGATGGGCCACAGCCCCAGCCCTGTGCCGAGGCAATGGCAGAATGCCCTGGAGAGAGCACCACAATCCTATTCGTCCGTGCCCACCTACACCCACCACCATTGCATTGGGCAGCGTGGCTTTCCCAGCACAGTGACAGGCCCCGGCCTCACAGCTTGGCCGTGCCAGAGGCAAGAGAACACAGTTCAACTCTGGCATTACTCAAAGGTTCCTTGCGATACACAACTCCGACCCATCGGGGAACTCGGGCGTATGCTTCCAGACAGGTTCACTCTTAGAGCTTGCTATTCTTCTGAAACTGGGCCACCAGGCTGAGGACCTGCTCAGAGGCTTTGATGCTCTTGGAGCCGAGGTAGGCAGTGCTGTTGGGGCCCGTTTCCTCCAGGAAGTAGCGGTAGTTCACCATCAGACCACACGAGCCCGTGAGGCCCTTGAGGCTCGCATCCGCCATCCAGTTGATGCGCCACATCACTGCCCCGTTCTGCAGGTGGAAGTTGGCCACGGGGTTCAGGGCGTAGCCCCGGTGCTTCTCTCCATATAAGTACCAGGCACACAGCCTCATCAGCGGGCCCTGCAGTGCCTGCACCAGCTTCTCGGACTTCACCCACTCGCTGCTGCTGAGAAGGGCCTTGAGAGTATCATGAACAGGCCCACCAGTGATCTCAGAGATGTCTTTACATTCCGAGACTGTGAAGAGTTCATTCCTCCCATGCTCCTTTGTTTGCGAGCTCAGCAGTCCCAGAAGCCACTTGGTGAATCCAGGTACAGGTGACAGACTTGAAAATGTCCCAAGATAAGGAAACTCTTTCTGTACAGCACGGTTGGGTAGAGAGAGAAGGTGGAGAAAACACATACACAGATTCAACAGACATGTTACCACATGGGAACACTCGCAATAAAATTCACAGTCTATGCAATAGCAGTCTTTTGATGCTGCTGTATAGCTGGCAAAGTGGCATTTTGGTTGATACACTGTATCTTTCTTCAATATTTTTTTTTTTTAGAGATGGGGTCTTGCTCTGTCACCCAGGCTGCAGTGCAGTGGCATGATCATAGCTCACTGTAACCTTGACCTCTGGGGCCCCAGCAATCCTCCCACCTCAGCTTCCTGAGTTGGTAGGATTATAGATGTATGCCATCATGCTCAGCAAGAAATATTTATTAGGAACCCAGTGTGTGTCAGGCCCTAGAGGCATCCTGAGTCCCCAAGGCAAGATGTCTCTCTCTATCCCCACCATTGTCATGTTGGCAAAATCGAGCCCAGAGTTGGGCAACCTGCCCAAACCAAGACAGCTGGCCAGTGTGAGTGGGACCTGGCACAGTTTCTAACCACAGACTCTGTTTTTACACCATGCCGCGCCCCTCCCATGGACATCTCTGCGGTCACAGAACTTGGTCTGGTGCTTGGCACACGAATGCCCAGGGACTAGTGAATGAATGACTTCCCAGCCACACTACAGTAGATGAAGAGGGGGTGGGGGAGACCAAGGTAATTTCTTTCTCCACATCACACTACAATGGTTCAATCGTTATTGTTCCAGTTATACAGAGATCTCAATTATCATTTCAAAAAAATCCAGTATGATCTGGTTAGAAATGTAACACATGATCACTTTAGAAAATTAAAAAAAAAAAATTGATGACAAGAAAACAATTGTTCTCCACTATACTGAGAAAACCACCCTCCAGAGCTTGATGAAGTGTAACTCCTTCTGGTCCTTCTCTGTGCAGTTTTGACATGGGTGACACTTATTTTACATCCTGCATTAAGAATTTATATCATGAGCATCTCTCATTATCATTTACAATTCACAAATATAACTGTAACAAGAAAGCAACATTAAACATCTCCTGATGTTCCTAACTGCGTCCTTCTCCTTGGGCACTGAAGGTAGCTCTCAAGCCTTTTGCTTTTAGAAACCCATATGTACACTCCCCAGCAGAGAGCGCCATTCAGCTTCTGTCCAGATTCCCTTTATGACTTCCCAACTCTCAGCCAAGGGTCAAGTAAATGACACTGTCAGGGTGGCACTGGCTAAGGAGCAACTCTGATCAGAAACAGAGGCTGTGGGTGAACTACCCCAAATTCCAGAGGCTGCTCCTCCTTTTCTTGCCTTTCTTACCCCAGTATGTTCCTCCCTCTCTGCCCTGTTCATTACCACTTTCAGTGAAGAAAGAAGAAACTCCTATTAATCAGCTATGGCTTGTGACCATCTCTGGGGGGAAGTGGCTGAGTGATCATGAAGCTGATGCCCACCGAACCCTGAGTTCTCCTATTTAATGCTGATTATGAATTAACAGGAAGCACAACAACATTGTCATGGCACTCTGGGGACTCTCACGCTCTAGGGACAGCTCCTGCTACAGATATTCTTCAAAGCAGAGAATGACACTGTCAGAGCCAGCTAGTAGCAACCTAGTTATTTCCCTTAATAATTAGATTCGGCTCACTGTGGTTCACTCAAGCCCCTGATGAGGTAGTTTTCAAAAGTTTAGGCCTGCAGTGAACCTCAACATTTCTGCTGTGGAAGGGTTACAGTGTTTTTCACAGGGCAGTAAAGAGAGGGGAGTCAGATCACAATGAGCCAGTGCATTTGGCTTCAAGCTACCGGCTCTAACCTCAGCCTCTCCCAGACCACGAGAAGGCCACACTGATGGCTGTCAGGGCCAGATGCCCTGGAGAGTGTGGGCAGAGGTGGAGGTCAGGCGTTCCCGACACTTACGCCAGGACAACCCATGTGGTCAGAAGCATCTCAGAAAGCCAGGATGAGGTCACCCTGGAGAGCCAATGTCCTCAGAGCACACCTGCATTTCACAGGCAGTGCAGAAGCCAGGTGCTAGGTGCTTCCCAGGATCATTCTCATCTCTGAGTCTCACGGCTCCAAAGACTCACTAAGGGCACCTGGTACGTCCTGCTCCCTCCAGATATGATGCCTGTCCTCCACCTGCCACCTACAAGGTTTGCCAATGGACCTGACCACGTTGACGCAAGAGTGGGACCTGCCAGCCATGTGTCTTTTGCTTACCTGCAGCTCCTTGACCACGCGCTTGATGAGGAAAGTGCCCAGCTCCACCCCCTGCAGTCCTTGCTGGGTCAGGCTGATGGAGTAGAAGATGGCAGCGGCGATGTTGCTCTTCTCTTCTGTTTCTGATGGAGGACATTCCTTCACTATGGCCTGGAAAACACAAACGACGGGGCTAAGAGTGGCCTTGCCGCTCTCAGCCCATGCCCCGCCAACACTTCTCAGGGTACCAACAGACTGGAAGAGACCTCACTCCCTCTCAACAGTGGCTGAGGCTACGGAGGCTCAATGCTGCCTGGCCTGTTCTGAAAACTGCAGGAGGCGATTTTGCAGCTTCCCTGGTGGTTTGCTCAGCTTTGCATTATTTCTAGCATTTTGAACTCTCCTGCAAACTTTGCTGAAGAGAATTTATGTTCCTTTCCGTCTTTTTCAAGCCTTCATGAAGATAGAAATGTGCTCCCCTGCAACACTGATCCCTTGTTGAGGCCAAGCACCTCTAGTTTCTTCAGTTCTTCTTTAAAGGCCTGCTTTTCTCCTATGCTTTATTTTTGCTCCTTTCTTCTGAACCCTAGTTTTCCCAATTTCTCAGTAGGCTGTATGCGGCCCTGTATCATTTCCTTTTAGGAAATTTTCCTTTTTGTGACTTTTCCATGTCCTTTTCTGATTTTGTGGCAACATCTTCAGCTTTCCTAAATGGTAACACATTTGCACAGACATATACGTGATGCGATCTAGGAAATGACTCAATTGGAAAGCCCCTTAGCTGAAGTCTGCTTTTATTTTTGACTGCAGGGTATTTGCTTTTATTTTTGACTGAGTCCTAATGCTCTGAAGGTCACTTGGTAATAGCAAATAGGGGGTGGTTTGTAGTCTGCTTTGAAGCAGGTAGCTTACTTTTGAAGGACACAAGTGAGCCATCTTAACCTCCACCAGCCAGCTCCATGTGGTGTTGGAAGGGGGAGTGTGTAGCCTAGAGCCTAGAGCCATGGTGAGGTTTGGACATCTACAACCTTCGGTTGCCCTGAGGAAATGTCCCCAGTTTTCTTTCCTTTCAGATTCTGCACAGGATCTGTGACCCCTAAAAAGTTAAAAACTGCTGCTTTAAGGAAAATGGGGTAGCCCGTAAGACAGGGTGGGGAATATCCTCGAGGCCATGCCAGCTCGCTGTCCTGGTGCATCCTCTGATAGAAGTGCTGCAGGTCACAGAACAGAGCTCTCCACGCAGCATTCCTAGTCTTCAACTTGCTGAATTATCTCCTTTGTTTTAAGGAGTCTGTAGGTTATCTGTGGCTCCTTATGCAAAAGTCCCCAGAAACCTTTTTTAAAGTTTTCAAAATAAACACGAATCTTTCTTCAGTTACACTACATGAGGTATGTGTAACATGAAAGAGGAAAAAATACACACATAAAGAAGAAATAGTCAATTACTCTGAAATCGAAGGCCTATGCCTGTGCTGACCTCTGACGGACACCTCCCCAGGCCTGCCTCACTGGCTGCTGGTTTGCGTGCCTTTAAATATGCACATATATGTGACGACGTATACATGTGTGTTCTCACATGCCCCAAACATGCATAGATTCTATACTTACAGAAGGCAACGTCTCCTCAGGGTCAGGATGTGGGCTGGGTTTGAATCCCACTTCCACCCTCACTTGCTCTATGATAATAGGCAAGTTCCTACTGATATTCCCCTCAGCCCCGGTTTCCTCATGTCTGAAATGAGCCAATTATAATTCCTGCCTCACAGTGTGCTCTGAGCAACAACACATGAAATGTACCTCACGGATGATGGGCACAGAGCTCTGCTCTGTGGAAATTATTAATATTATAAACATGATCAGTAAGACCACACCACACACATGCTAGTCAAGGCTGGCTTTCCATGTCAAAATATAAACCCACATCAAGACTAAATACATGCATAGCAGCCCCACATATGGGAAGATGTGTCATGTGTTCACACCATTTCCTGAGCCCGTCCTCTGCTGACAGACAGTGAGGTGACATCTTCAGCCTCCCAAGACTGTAAATGGTACTCTTAGGTCTCAGTATCTTCCCAGGATAAGGTCCCAAGAGTGGGATTTTTAGGTCAAAAGGGAAGTACGTTCTGCATTTTTAACACCTATTGCCAAACTGCCCTTAGAGAGGCTGTTATAACTTCTAGTCCCACCAATAGTGCATGAGAGTGCAACTCCTTCCAACAGAGATCATATGGGAGTTATTTCTCCCTGGTGGTCAAGAGCATCTACCATTTGCCTGGCTCCATTTCTCTAACATGAATCAGGAAACTCTGCCTGGGCACTCACCTTGTGATGTGCTTGAACCACTCAGCTTTCCAGCAGGTTATGAGACCCCAGTGTTCTTGCCCCATGTCCTCATGGTCGGAGCAAACCCACTCTGACCCGGGGTCTCATGCCCCTGTCTTTATTCCCTTGAGATCTGCTCTCCTCTTTCCAGATCCTGTAATGTGGTCACTGGTTCTTCTGCCCCCCGTGGGTCTGCATGGATATTTCAGATGTCCTCATCCAACTCTGCAAGGAGATCAGCTTGCTCCAAGGCAGGACCACCAGCCACAGTTCCCACAACCCACTCACTGGGCAGCATCCTGTGCCCATCGGGCATGAGAAACCAAGTATCTTTCCATTTTTCAATCAACTATCTTTGAAAACTCCCATAGGCACTTAATAAAAGCTGAAAAGCTGAATCATGTGTCCCCCTGCTTCTTCTTCCCTCATTTTTCTGCCTCACAAACACTCTGTAACAGACTTCTACTGTGTCTCAACTCAAGTGCAACCAGCCAGATGACGACTTCCTTACTCCATAACCATCTATATGCTGAACTTCTACACGGCATAACGGCAAACCTGGAGATTTCACCTAAGTAATTTAAGAGTACAAAACAATTTATTTTCAAAAAAGAAGATAAAACCAAGTAAAAAACAATCACTCCTAAGGGCCTCTGTGGGACGCCTGTCTTGCCCTGAATTGACCATCCAAGGTACCTGGATGTTGTTGGAGATGTCACTGGTCAGTGCCACATGCAAAACGACCAGGGGCTCCCCGGGGGTGGAACAGTGAGAGAAGAAGTAACATCTTCTGTAAGGCCCAACACGGCGCTTCATGTCCATCCAGTTCTTCACAGGATGCACAGCCTCAGATCTGATGTGAAAGTGACCAGGAGGTGAGACAAATATGTAACTTTCAAGTTAAATCACAATGGCAGACTTCTATTTATTTTACTCACTTAAGTCAGCTAAATCCTTTAAATACAGCTTTAATGAACTCTCTGGGGAAATTCAAAGAAAATCATCTTAATGAGAAACAGCACTGACCGAGAGCAGCAACAATTAATGACCATTTACATCCAAAATTGTGCTCTAATTCTTATACCAGTGTTAGGAGCAGTCCGTGAGGCCCCTGGGAAGCATTCATGCAGCAAACCTATGCAAAACCCAGGGCTTCACCGGTGAACATTCCATGTCTTTTCTTTCCTCTGGCTCTCTGTCATCTGAAAGCAGCTGTCAATGCAGGGAGCACAGCACTCACCTCTCAGCCCCATCTGTCTGGCACCCTCATCTGACCGCTGGCTTGCTTTCAGCACTGAGATGGCAGCAGGCACCATCCGTCCATCAAACAGTAGGACATGTCAAACCTCAGCTTCCACAGGATGACATGGAATGTTGTACGTGGAAAGAGTCCCCTAGTTGTGAGGACATCGTGACCCACTACCCTATGTTATCCTGTGTCCTGGACGTGCTGTGATTATGCACAATATTGTTCATCTAGAGATTTTATCCAAGGGGGAAATCTTAACAGTTAGATGCGCTAACTGCTGCTCTGGAGACTAATGCAAATACTTGGTCAGTCGAGTTTACACAACTCTGATAACAGGATCTTGGGAAACTGTCGAGTTTGCTTTAAACATGAGGAGCAAATCAGACCCTACATGCAGGTGACTGACAGGCTGATCAGTATCTACTTGTGCCCTTTCCCCCTCCACCGGGTCTCAGCATCCCATATGATGACAACCACAGCATTTGCAAATACTGTGGCTGGATTTTATTACGCTTGAAATAAAATGTACATGTCAATGGTGATTGGCTTTCAGTCAATAAAAAAAATGAATATATACAAATATATATAAAAATACAGTAAGTCCCCAGCATACAAACCTTCAAGTTGTGAACTTTCAAAGATGCGAATGTGTGTTTACATGTCCACCCACATAAGTTAGTTCACTTGCCTGGCATACATTGCCACATGCGTGCATCCTCTACAGGTGGTTGTGCTTTTGTGTACTTTACCGTGCAGTACTGCATAGAGTACAGTGGTACAGTCCCTTTATTTCAAGCCCAGGATATCCGGAAGTGAGTGTAAAAGCAGCAGTGATGTAGCTAGTACAGTACAGCCGATTGTGTTCACTGGGTGTGTAGGCTGACATTGTTGGACTTATGAACAAATTAGACTTATGAACGTGCTCTGGGAATGGAACTCATTCGTATGCAGGAGACTTACTGTATATATACAAAAATGGAAACCTTAGTACTTACTCACTGATTTTCTGAAGCACTTCACATGGTGAATGCCAAGTAACCCGTTCTAGGTTCAGGAAGCCTGAAGAAAACCATTCTGAGAGCATACTTTTCAGCACCCCATTCATTTCCTGAAAGAAGAAGGCAAATTGTAGGCTTTAGTTGTATAGAAGAAAGAGCCCATGTGTGTAGCATGGCCCACACAGGGAATTAAAACACTTAGACATGATACAGAAGAAGCCTGTGTAAGACAGTTCTCTGAATAGCTTTTTTTGAGATACTTCTACCAAACTCTTATCTCAAACCAAGTTAGGCTTTAATTCAATTCTGTTTAGACTTCACTATCTCAGCCTATAAGATACCTGAATGACAATATTCAATCTGAGCTAAGTTGTCCAAATCAAAAGACATGTTCCAATCCATTCACCAGAGTGACCATACTAAATACATAAAATTAATAAAACAATGAAAGACACATCACAAGGAAAATACTAACATAGACAGCACAGGGCTCGACGCATCCTCATCCTCTCAGGAACATTCTCTGGTAAGTCCACGTATCACTCCTATGTTCTCTAATTGAAACAAGTACTTGGGTCCAGGAGCTCTCTTTCATCAACTTGAAGATGGACATTTTCATAGGTTAACATCTCTGAAGTCAGGATGCATCTTTCAAATGACGGTGGGTCACAGTTTATTTGCCAGCATTTTTATTTTTATTTTTTGAGTTGGAGTCTCACTCTGTCACCCAGGCTGGAGTGCAGTGGCATGCTCATAGTCACCGCAGTGTTGACCTGCTGGGCTCAGGTGATCCTTCCGCCTTAGTCTTCCAAGTAGCTGGAACCACAGGCGTGCGCCACCAAGCCCGGCTAATTTTTTGATTTATTGTAGAGATGAGGTCTCACCAAGTTGCCCAGGCTGGTCTCGAACCCCTGTACCTAGGCAATCCTCTCGCCTTGGCATCCCAAAGTGCTGGAATTACAGGCTTGAGCCACCATGCCTGGCCCTTGGCAGTTTGTTTGGTTTTTTGTTTTTTTTTAGCTGGAGTCTCACTCTGTCACCTAGGCTGGAGTGCAGTAGCACACTCATGGCCACTGTAGCCTTTACCTGCTGGGCTCAAGTAATCTTTCTGCCTTTGCCTTCCAAGTAACTAGAACCACAGGCACGCATCAACATGCCTGGCTAATTTTTTGATTTACTGTAGAGATGAGGTCTCGCCAAGTTGCCCAGGCTGGTTTTGAACCTGTGGGCTCAGGCAATCTTCTTACCTTGGCCTCCCAAAGTGCTGGGATTACAGGTGTGAGCCACCGCGCCTGGTGGCAGTGGGATATAAAATAATAGTGTATCTGGCGACCAAAGCATTTTAGATTTGGTGAAATTATCCAATTTTGCTTCACTTATTTATAACTTATCTACTTCCAAAAATGATTGAGTTGACTTTATCATAAAAGACACATGTGCACTGAGCATTTCAAGCAAGAACAGAAGAATGAGAGGTGCCTTAGCAGGAGAACTGTCTCATGCAGCCTGGCGTGACCACGGCTGCATATAGGCAGGAGGGAGCTGCTGGGAGCTAGAGCAGAGAAGCCGAGGGCGGCCGACGTGGCTTGTTGCTCCCCAGTAGCTAGTTTCCTTTTCCTCTAAATTAACGGAAGCCTCATTTTCTAGTTAGGGATGTGGCTGTCTGGTATAAAGACAGCACCATAGCTGGGGATAGTCCTGTGACTGAGTTCTGGCAGGAAGTGTCAGCAAAGGTGTCCTGCAGCAGCTTTGGGGAACTGCAGGCTACTGACAGGAGCATGCCTCTTGCTCATCTTTTTCTCTGACCTTTCCGCTGCAGGCTGGAAGGTGGTATGATGGCTAGCATTGAAGCAGCCCTCTTGGGCCATGAGGAGATTTTGGAGATGAAGGTTTTCAAGACAGAGCAAAATTAAAGTCTGGGTTCACCAAGAGTACCAGAGAGCAGAGCCAGCCCTGGGCTACCTACCACTATTACTTTGGGTCTCTGTTACTCATAAATGCACTACATACTAACAGATATACTGGCATTACTACTGAATAATAGTAAATATCTTGGTGTGTTTGTTGTAGAAGTGACCTGCTGAATCTCTGTACAAGGACCATAAAGCACATCAAGGACAACACCCATGAAAAGTAGTTATACAAGGGCTGTATAGATTTTACAGGACATTTTACTTTTTTTTTTGAGTTGGAGTCTCACTCTATCACCCAACCTGGAGACACTCATAGCCACTGCAACCTCAACCTCCTAGGCTCAGATGATCCTTCTGTCTCAGTCTTCCAAGTAGCTGGAAATATGATTGTGTGCCACCTGCCCAGCTGATTTTTTTATTTATCGCAAAGATGAGGTCTCATCAAGTTGTCCAGACTGTTCTCAAACCCCTGGGCTCAGGCAATCCTCTTGCCTCCACTTCCTAGAGTGCTGGGATTACAGGCATGAGCCACCATGCCCAGTCATTTACCTTTATTTTTATTTTAAAGATGTGGGGTATAATTCAGGGTTAGGTATACATATGTTCATTATGCTGGTACCCTTGTTGATGAGGTGTGCCCCTCTCTCCCCTGGCAGTTTCCTTCAACTGTCAATCCCACCCCTCTTCCCCTGGCAGTTTTCCACCATTGCCAATACCTTTCTTATAGTATTATGATAATTGTTCAAGGTCCGCTTATGAGTGAGAACATATGGTACTCTGTTGTTTCTGTGATAGATCACTGAGTATGATAGACTCTAAATCCATCCAAGTTGCTGCGAAGTCTGTATCATTTTACCTTTTGATTCCTGATAAAGGAGAAGGATATGAAATCCATCTTTACATATCTAAGTACAGGACACAGGACACAGGAAGCCACCAATTTGTTCTGTGTGACTCCACAGGGGCAGGGAAGGTAAGTCCAAGACTAAGTGGGGGAAGTCATGGAACTTCATGTAAAGAAGGATCTCTGAGTAGCCAGGGCTGTCCACAGATGTCATCTTGGGAGGGCAAATCTCACCACTAGAAGTGACCAAGGGCAGGGTCTACAAGAACGTGGCAGAGATGTTACAAAAAGGATTTAAGCATTGGACAGGCAGCCGGACCAGACAACCTGTGCAGCTCCTTCTAACTCAGATTACATCATCTAATCTCTTTTGCTTAGCTATAAACTCCATAAAGGCATAGTCCATTTCTGATTCCTTTCTACAGTTCCCAAGGTGTTCATTAATAGATGGGTCTCACACAAAAAAGAGAAAACAATGGAAAGAATGAGGAAGTAGCAGGAAGGGAGGAGGAAAGCCATCATTTATCAGGTGACACAGAAGGGCTCTCTACAAAACTGTGTTTTCTGTATTTGACTACAACGGTTTGTAATCTTCCTGGGATCCTCACTCAATCCTGTCCCAGAAAAATGCAAACATGTTAATAAAGTTGTGCACACACTCTCCTGAGGTTCATGAATCCCTCTGATGCTTGTCTATGGGCCCTTCCCAGGGGTCCAGGGACCCCTGGTGGTAGGAACCTCTGTACTGAATGGCTAGAATGGGCTAGCAGAGCTGTGGAAGACACTCTGCCATCTCGACGACATTTATGCTAGGAGAAAGCTGGAAGTACCCAGCTTCAGTATTAATTCAGGACTGATTATGAAAGAAGCCGCTTGGCTGATGGAGGCCCCCCCCCCAGTCTCCTATTTTGGGCTCCTGAAAGCTATCAAGTGTGATGCGGGCACACGGGGACTAGGAATCTGGGTTATAGGTCAGATGTCTCCATTGCTCAGCTTGAAAGTGACCACGGCTGTTCAGGCTGGAATTAACCACAGCAGGTGGCAAGGTTACTGGATACAAACAACACCAGGGAGAGGAGTCTCTCCTGCTCCATCCTCACTAATACAGCAATCATTTATCAGTAGTACAAGACTGAAAAATACAACTGCGGGGAATATTCTGGCAACGCTCAAGTCAGCAGTAGTTAGCAGTTTATTCTGCCAATTTTCTTCTTCTTCTTTTCTTTTTTAAAGATAGGATTTCCTTATCTTGCCCAGGTTGGACTTGAGCTCCTGGACTCAGGCGATTCGATTTCCCCAACTTGGCCTCTCAAGTAGATGGGATGATAAGGCATGTGCCACCATGCCCAGTTCTGTTTATTCTGTCTTGCCAACTCCAGTTGTCTTATATGGTACTGTTTAGACTAGTCAGCTTTTCCTTCTACCAGAGGAATAGTTGTTTTCCAGCCTTTCTCCTGAATATTCTGAATATTGATGAAGATCTGCTTGTTCTTGGTATGCAAAAAAAGTTACTTTTCCTTGCTCAGATGCCTTGATCTGGGGAAGGAAACTGACAGCCATGGGTGATGGGAGCCCTGCAGAGGCTAAGAACTCTCAGTCCAATTCCAACTCACACACACTGCCACTCCCCAGGCGTATATTGTATATAACGGGGTATAGCTTTTCTGATGAAAAATAAGTTCTTGTTCTAGTATGACTAAGCACAGAATTTACTAGAACCAACAAAGAGTCCCATACTGACTAAAAGGTAGAGAAGCCGCTTAAAGAGCTTGCACAACAATATCTTGCATGGCTGGGTGGTGGTGGCAGCAGGAACCATGTCCCTTTCCCGGTTCCCATGCCTCCATTTGGGGGTGTGACTCCTAGGTTCAAATTGCCCATCAGCAAAGAAAGTCTTTACCTTGCACACAGTAAAGACTTTCTGTGATGTAAAGGCCAGTCCCCCTCCAGTGCCCACAAATCTCTGAAACTTAAGTCACTAGCCAGGTGGGCCTGTGGAAATGTCTCTGGAGAAAAACAAAAGGCCTATAAACCACACCTGCGCATACCATACACACCACACCCCCAAGCTCACACCTACCACACCCACATGGACACACACACACTTGAAAGACTCACAGAGTGCCACTTAAGGAGTCATCAGCACATGGCAAGACCAGACTTATTTCTGCCGAAAAGCCACAAATCCAGGCATGTTAAAAAACCTATAAGCTCCCTCAGAACTCGGACAGAAAAAATAAGGATGTTTTTAATCTTGTAACTAAAGGGAACATTTATTTTCCTGGTGTGATTAAGCTGCTATATGGATTTTTATACCACTCCCCATACTAAACAATTCATTTACTATTATATTTTCTCCAGGTTAAAATTGGGGTTTT